ACTTATCTATCCTCCCGAAGCCCCCTGCCCAGTTGGGATCCTGGTGCATTGGCAAGGTGTTCGCTTGCCAAGCACAGGTCGAACCCCGCCCTGCCCAATTCCTTTTTGCTTTTGCACAAAAACACGGAATTTTTTGCATAAAATCATGCTTTAACCTCTAAAACCGTTATCGAGCCATTTTTAATGTTGATGATGACGACAGCTTAAAAATAACGCAAAGAAATCCAATTTTCGCAATTTTTTTACTATAAATGTCGAATAACTTTTTAAATAAAAGTCGGCAGCAGATTTGGAAGCCATATTCGGAATCAGCGAAAGATTCTTCACAAGGTAGACCTGGTCCCATCCCAAAACGCCAGCCTGAGTAAAAACACTTTACAGTTAGATGTTTTTTAGTCTCAAAGAAGGGGTGGAACTTTCATTCAAGGGTATTCTAGCAATCCGCGGTTCTTATATGCTTTTTTAGCGTCAAAGAAGGGATAGAATTTTTTTCAAGGGTATTCTAGCAATTCCGCAGGCTTTATATGCTTTTTTAGCATCAAAAAAATAGATAGAACTTTCCTTCAGGGGATTCTAGCCATTCCGCGGTTCTTATCTGCTTTTTCGGTTTCAAGGAAGGTTTATAGCGGCGTTACAGGGGTATGGTAGCCAATAAAACGTTCTTGTATGTCTTTTAGTCGTAGAGAAGGGTTATAGCTTCGCTTTTCTTCTCTTTTCTCTTTTTTTCATTAGCTTTTCTCTCAATTGATTGAATTTGTACTATATCCGGACTTATAGGGTCTCCAGCGATTTGGCGTGTCTAGCCGGAAGCATGTCCAGTAAGGTTTTCATGTATTTCAGCAAAACCAAATTTAGAGGACATTGTATGGGCTCCGTGGCGCGGCAAGATGATGTCGTCGTCGAAGGTCAGATAAAATTTACTACACTTTATTTTGTCCTTAGGTGACCGGTGTCTATCCGCTAAAGATCAGTTACGTCTTCGTCCCGCTCCAGACAGACGGCAAGAAGGGCCGCGTCTTCAGTGCGAAACACTCGGTATATTAGCTCAGGAAAATGCTATCATATTCATTTTAGACAATCCATCGTCTTTGCACCACAGACAAGATTCCAGAAGATTTCTTCAACAAAAAAAACGGCGGTGATGTGTTGTTGCCGGCTTGGGCCTTGGCTGCTCTTCATCTCAAGGAGGCCAAGAAATCTGTGGTGAGCTATTTTTTTGTAATTTATTAGAGTTATTCAGGGTCATTGACGCGCCGCCGCCCAAGTCCCCCGAAGACGGCTTCCGCCAAGCGTGCCCAGTCGGAATCTGATGAGCCGTCGCCAAAGAAACTTTCCTCAAAGCGGGAAGAGATGAATTCTGATGACAACGAGCTCGCGCATAACTTGTCGACGGCCAAGATTACAAAGAAAAACAGTTCGGCCAAGCGCGGCAAGAAGGACACTGATAAGGGCCAGGTGGGATTTTAATAGGTTCACGCAACCTTGATTTAGGACCCGCCAACAAACGCTCAAATTGGCCGCGGTGGCTCGTCGACCAAAGAGGAGGAGAAGACGGTGCGAAAAACGATGCTTTTGGTTATAATTGTTTTTAGGGGCCGCCCAAACGCCGTCGCTCGGAAAACGGATCCGCCAAGAAATCGACGAACCAAGCATTACAGGTAATAACTTGCCCCCTATGGAAAGTGTTTTTTCCAGGTAAACAGACCGAAACACGATGCCGCCGTTGTCGGGCGTCTATTTGGTCAGCCGTTACGTCTTGGATCAGGGCAGAAGAATCCGCCCAAGCTGCATGATAATCACGCTGGCGCCAGGTAAGCCGTTTTTCTCCGAATTGTATCATTTTTTTTGTTTAGCCTCGACGTTCTCAGCCAAGTGGCCAAGGAACAACAGGAAAAGCTGAATGGTAACTCCCTCGCCTAGCCCTGGTCTATCAAAATTTACGACTTGCATGCCCTTTTGTTAATTCCCCCAACTTTGCCCCATCCCCCTACCCATCCCCTCAACCTCTGGTTTCCTAATTTCTCGAAACAGGTTGTCTTTTCCAGCCCATTCATTTCCAGGGGCCAATCTGGTACTGACCATTTCTAAATTCACACTCCCCCTCTTTTCCCAGTCTCTCTATCCCCCAGTTAGTTTATGTTTTTGCTAGTTAAAATATGTATCGACCCTCCCGGCGCCGCCAGCACGTGGCTACGCATTCACCGATTCTCGTTGTTGATTAATAAGACGATAAATAAAAACGTACAAATGTAAATTTGTGGAGCAGTCTGATCGCTCGAGCTTGAAGGAGTCATGAGTCATGTTCGCTTCAAAACGAAAATTTATTGCGACCCAAATTTACCAGGCGGGAATTGATTGTAGTAGCGAGCTGCGGTTTGCTTACTGTTCAAGCATTCAAATGTATCCATTTTCTAAGTTATGCGCGTCATTCTTTAGACATTTTCACTGTGTATGATTTATTAGTTAACTGCCAGCGCTTTTTAGCAAGTTTTGCAAGTCTATGAGCAATACGAGGCTATTTGAGCGGCAGCGTATCCCGGGTTGGTGCAGAAGCCGTTGGCTGCCCAAGTCACGCAGCTAAAAAACCGGATATTATATTAAAGCCAAAACGTACTTGGCATTGTTATCAGCGGGGCACACTTTGGCCTTGGTAGTCGTCTTCACTGTGGTCTTCACTGTGGCTTTGGTGGTCGTCGCCTTGACGGTTACTTTGGCAGTTGTTTTCTGAAGAAAACTTGGATATTATTTCTTTGAGGAGATGTTGGCCTGGAAACTTAATACGCCTTTTTTGTGGCGTCATAACCGACCGTCGTTACCCCACATTGACCGCAATAGTTCGGGCAGTATTCGCACTTCTGCGCGGCGGTGTAAGCGGTTGATGCGCAGAAGCCATTCGAGACCCACGTGGCGCAGCTGAAACAAGTAGAAGTTCTCGGCACCACGACACAAGCAAGAATGTTTAGTAAACTATACTCCTACGCATAGAAAGATAGAACAATAGCATACTTGGCATTATCAGTACCGCAACTCGTACCGGGTTTCGTTGTGGCAACGGCTTTGGCGGTAGTCCGAAAATTTATAAAAAACAAAAATTCATTGATTTGCAGCTATTAAAAGGTGACCTTTCTCGTAGCCAAATAGTGCAGGCGATCATGTCGAAGCCCGCATGGATTTTTTTCGCTCGTTGGCTTGTGTGCACAGCGCTTTGGGACCGAATGCGTTTATAACTCAAAATTCCGACAAAGTTAGTCAGGTTGGGTGTTTGATAGCAGCCCGCGTCAGCACACTACGATTATGGCTGAATAGAAGACGGGCAGGACTGGTGGTAATTTTAGTAAAATTAACTAGGGTTGAAAGAGACCCTAAATTCGCTTAATAGTTTCTATTTACGAAATCCAAGATATCGACCCGCATGACATTTAAAAATTCTTGCATTCAATAAGAGCGTGAATATTTTCCAGTGGTTCATACGATGACTTAGCCGACAAGATGGAAGAAACGAATATTAAAATCTTGTGGGAATCTTAAAAATAGCATGCTTCTCAGAACCCAGCGGACGAATACTTGTCATCCAATGGCAACCAGGAAAAGGAATGCTTTCAAACATGCTTTAAAAGTCAACTAGCATGCTCTGCCGCTCAATGCTCTTGCAGTGCCGCATCGATATTCCGAAGCTGCTGCCCAAATAAATGCAACGAATATCGATGGAGATGGTGGGGTCTCCCATCGCGTCAAAATTTTTGAAGACCAACGGGTACACATAGGATAACGGGGGGTGGAATAAAATAACGGAGGGCACTCCTTATTATGAAATTTGCAATTACTGTGGGATTTGGCGATTGCCATTCGATAGAGCGTCGAAAAATATACTAAGAGAATTAATTTGAGCCCAAAATAATGTAATGGAAATTTTTTATTGAATAAACAAAAATTGAAGAAAATCTATGGGATTGCGGGGGGGGGGAACAAATTTTTGGTGTTTTGAATGATTTGGTATCAGAATCTCGCATTATCATAATCTCGCATTTTCATAATCTCGCATTTTGAAAATCTCGCATTTTTAGAATCTCGCATTTTCATAATCTCGCAATTCCCATAGACTAGCTGCATTTCTACTAAGTACAACTAACAGAGCCTCGGCATTTGGAAGTTTCTGGCAACGTTGGGCGGTTTCCAGGAACGCACCGACAACCGTCTAATCGAGGCGCAGCAACAGGGCATGTAGCAGACACCCATTGCCGTCGATTACCAGGCCCAGCGTGGCCTCGACGAAGTGTACGATGCATATGACCATCTCGAATTCCTTAAATTAGTGGCCCAGACATTCGATTAATTTGGTGTGATCCGCTTATTCCATGATCAATCATCATTCATCGAATTCTTGGAATCCTTGGAAAGCCCTTGGAAAAGTTGCTAGACTGAAATTGCGAGATTCTGAAATTGCGAGATTATGAAAATGCGAGATTCTGAAAATGCGAGATTCTGAAAATGCGAGATTCTGAAAATGCGAGATTATGAAAATGCGAGATTATGATAATGCGAGCCTCTGAAAGATTCCCGTTTTGAATATTTTCGAGATTTTGAAAATGCCATTCGATAGAGGACCGAAAAATATACTAAGAGCTTTTTTATAGCCCGAAAAAGGCATAGTTAAAAATACTTTTATCATATAAAAAGTTTGAGTGCCCCCCCCCGTTATTATTCTATGTGTACCGACCAACGGCTGGATCGATCGGTTGGCCGCAATACAAAATATGAAAATGTTGAATCTGCTGCTCGAGGAGTGCATCGAGTGTCCGCGACCCAATAAACCCTATATCCTTAAAAGTTAGAATTTCTCGGCAACTTTATAAATTCGCGTCCCTGGTTTGAGTCGCGTCCCGGACCGTCCGCGTCCGTCCGCGAACAACCCTGGTCGTAACTGTGTCCTCTCACTAGAGCTGTCATGTTCAGGGTATGGGAGGCAAATATTTTATAGTGAGCATCACGTATATAGCTCAGTCCGTGGCTGTCGCTTGCCTCTCGAGGTGGTGTTCGATCCGCTGCAAACTGGCTGGGAGTTGCAGCTTTTTTTTTGCAAAATCAATGCTGCAGGAAATTTATTAGAAAATTCATCCCATTGTTCAGGTACATTAGACGAAGTACCACGGCACGGTCAGGCGGTTCGGGTCGACATATCCATTTGCGATGCAGAAACGTCCATGCTGCCCAGCCGTGGTTCTGCCCTCCTCACAATGCGTGTTTTCAGGGCAAGCACCGGTTGATTCTTATGGAAAAAGCGCATAAAACATTGGGGCATCAGAATCCTTGAACAGATTAAAGAATTTACCGGCGATTATAGAAGCGGGAGTCATCGGCCAGAAGACACGGACACAATCCTGCGATGGGGTCTAAAAGGAAGAAAATAAGGTTCCGACTATACAACAGTAAAAAGGCTAGAACGAAAGATGACCATGAAACACTTACTCGGGCTGTTGTCGTGGTAGTAATCCAGTTCTAAAACAAATATGAGATGAGACTGGCAGACCAATAGAACAACAGTGTTGGGTTTAAAGAAATTTCGCTAAATTCTATTATTTTCAGAGCGTTAGCTGCGTGCATTGCGTTACGTTACAGAAACGGTCAAAATTAATCTATTCCCGGAAAAACCGGAAGTCTGTACTTCGAAAACGTTTTCGGCAGTTTCTAGGTCTAGGCCCAAGGGGCCTTAACTGATCGGATTTGCTCAATTAGTTTTCAAGCCCATCCAAAGATTGTCTTCATCTTTCATTTCTTGCGCTTCAACGATCTACCCAAAACCCACAATGTAACATGTGTCGACACCGATAGCGTCCATGTAGCAGATCTCGTCAATCGAGCAAGCGGCAGGCGCAGTTCCTAAAAACGGATTGAAGTGAGGTACATATATATCAACACTAAAACCTAATCAACGCGTTATTGCTTTGACACCTGGTTCATGCATGCATAGATTCATAGAGTAACGGATTTATGAGTAATGGGGTCGAATCGCCTTTCAGGATTTGGAAGATCGGGCGGTAACCTTTGAAGTATAGCCTCAGAAGCCGGTCCCCCCAATATGGCATCATTGCGCAACTTTTCGAGACCACCGGCTAGGGGTAAGAATTTGCCTTTTTACCGCGGTACACTACAGGGTGTGCAAAAAAAAAAGCCCACAGTTTGCACCAAAATATCTCGCTTATAGTAGAGAATCGAAGGTACGTTACCATGCCAGAATGCTTAAATATGCTGGGTATGAAGATTTAACACAACTTGATTTTTTCGATTTTTGAGTACGAAACTGTACTATTGACGCTGATTACGACCGAAAATTGTGCGTTCTTGAACGGGTGGTGGGAAAATTCTGATTTTTGGCCTAAAAATAGTATAAATTTGTAGAAAGGTAATGGTAAAATCTTAGAATTTATCGAGGTCAATTTCATTTTTTAAAAGCAAAACAATTTTCGCGATATTGCGTTATTTTTGTTCTTTGAGTCATAACTCGCTTAAAACTCAATGCCCATGGCTGCTTTTTTGCCAATGGCTTATCCAAATATTAATCTCGGATTCCACACCAAATTCCACCACAATCTATGGTATTCTTGTATTGCTTGCTAAAACGTGCCCCAGTGGGTACTGTAAGGTTTCGTTTTTACCGCTTTTCTCGGGACCCCTAGCTTCGATCCGGCTGAAATTTTCTGGGTTGTTTGGCAATAAGTAGGGGCGCCTTGCTGTCAAATACGAGAGCGTACTATCCACAAACTTTCATGAAAAAGACTAAAAACTTATTTTTTAATTCTGCCACAGAATCTTGTAAATTTTTTGGTCAGTTGGTCCATAAGCCGCTTCTATTGGTTTTACAACAAGATCGAAGTGATTCCATGGCAAAAACCCCACGAAAATCGCAAATTTCGGTTTTCTACAGTAACCCACGTGGAGCGCGTTTTAGCATGCCATCACAAAATTCCATAAAGTGACGATTTTTCTATTCGAGGACCTTCTAGAAGTGATTGTAAGATAGCTTGTACAAAATTACCGATTTTGGGTGGTAAATAACAAAGTTACGAGGCCCAGTGCAAAACAAGGCCAGAAGGCCGATTTTTGGTCCGAGTAGCCGGGGTCAATTTTCGAATTTTTAAAAATAAAAAAACCAGCTGGGTTTTATGGATACGATTATAGCTTAGATGTTATTATCTACGCCCGTAAAATTTGGGGGCAATCTGATTCATGATCATGGTGACTTTCAGCTCAAAATCGAAGATCACCCTATTCCAAAATCGAAGTTTAGAAATCTTCTTAAAATTCTTGCGGCGCGAAATGGCTTTAATCTTTGCATAGTTTTATTTAACTGATGGCACTGTCTTATTGCTCAAAATATCCCTACGACTCCACCTTCCAAAATTTTTTTACGCAACCTCCAAATCGGTTTATTTCGGGTTTCGATGAATTTTCTTGGCGCCAACGGCTGGCTAAAAAAATTCATGAATGAGGGTTTAGGATGCGCTATTTAACTAGTATCAGATAAAAATAAAACGATAATTTTCACGGCGTGATTTCACATTTTATAAAATGGTGGCAAGGTTCGGAAAAAAGCACGAACTAACCGTTTTGGAGGCCGTAAAAGACGCCCCTCTAAAGGGGTACGGTAGCTCGAAATTTTGTAGATGATTGATAAAGCCCAGTACTACATAGTTAAGCAAAGAAAATAGCTGAGTCCCCTTTGGCAATTTAAAACAATTTTTCTAAAGTTCGGTTTCGTGGCCTCGAAAATATCCATGACCAGGGGGCAGGGTTGGGCATTTGAATATCCGTATCCAGCATCGGTACCCATTTTCGGACATGTGGATATATATCCGTATCCGTGAACCTATGCTAATTTGGGCAGATACGGATACTTTGGTATCCAGATATGTATCCGTACCCGTATCCAAAATTAGCATGGCTTTCCCGGATACGGGTATGGATACGGATACAATTACGGATACTACCCGGTATCCGTTGCGGATACTTTGGATACTTCCGGTTTTTATGCAAATCACGATATTCAGCTTGATTTTGTATGGAACCGATCAACATTAAAGCCTAGATTCACCATCACTCCTCAGCCGAATCGAAAACGGGATAAAAACGAGTGTATCCGCAATTCTAACAAATCCCCAATGTTCCAAAGCTTTAAGATCCAAGTACATGACACCAAGGCGAGAACCCAGACGACAGAACCACCTAAGAAAACTTCAAAAATAAAGGAAATCTTCTTGTGCTCAATTGTGCTGTCCAATCGGTGGATGTAACATCGTAACTGCATAGTGCTTGGATTTAGACTTTAACAAAATATCTTGTCGTAACGACTTCCATACAAAACACAATTGAATACCGTGATTTGCATAAAAAACCGGAAGTATCCAAAGTATCCGCAACGGATACCGGGTAGTATCCGTATCTGTATCCGTATCCATACCCGTATCCGGCAAAATTCATTCTACGGATATGAATACTATCCGTATCCATTGTGGATATTATCCGTATCCAAAGAACATATGCTAATGCGGCGGGTATGGATACATACCCGTATCCGGATATTATCCGGATAGGATCCGGATACCAAATGGACCAACCCTGCCAGGGGGTCGTTGAAAAACTCAAAAATTCATCGATCTCAAAAAATTCTTTAATATGTTTATGCGATTGTGTTAAGCCCGTAGGTATTCCACAACAACTGATTTTGAGGTTTTCGCCAGAGGTTTTTCCAATATTAAAAATTTACGAAATTTCTCCATACAAAATTTCATTCCTCTATAACTTTTCAACCAGACCCTCAAAAATTCTTAAATTTCGTAGTTACATATCTGCTGCCTATATTAACTTATTTAATCAAAATTAGATGCCAACCACCACAGAAACTGAGAAAAAATACAAATGAAATTTCCCCGAACGCACAGTTTTCGGGTGTCATTTGTATTGATACGTCGCCAAAAATCGAAAAAATCAAGTTGTGTTAAATCTTCATACCCAGCATATTTAAGCATTCTGGCATGGTAACGCACCTTCGATTCTCTACCGTTCGCGAGTTATTTCGACCCAAACTGTGGGCTTTTTTTTTGCACACCCTGTAAACGTGTATAACCCTTAGAACTTTTAATACCATTTTGGGAAAGCAAACATGAAACATAGAACGTATACCAAATTTTGGGCCACCTGTATAACCCTTAGAGGTACCCCTTTGAAAAACCGACCAGTGCCGACGGTGAGTGTTGGATCGGGAAGAATAGGGCAGGTTTGCGCCATCACCTAGAGTATCATAATCAACAAGCGACTTTCGAAGCAACTTGATGCACATTTGTGTATTTAAAACCTGATCAGAGGCAAAACACTATTTTCCCTTTCACTAACCTGCGATGCGAAGCCGAGGAGAACGACCAGGCGGATGGCTTTTTGCATACTTGGAGCTCAGCTGCCGAAGTCAATTTTGTCGGCTATTTCGCAGGACTTTTATACCACAGCGATTGGTCGAAGGCCTAGAGCCGATCATTTTAATCCACCTGCGGGCAGGGATACGCGTGCCAGGCCGCGGTCAGTGCCCCTGTTGGAAAATGTCACATTTTCTGGAGATCGAATGAAAACCTTTGTTGTTTCAAAAAAAAACCTCCGTTTTACCACTGCGCAAATATGCCCTTCGGGGCTTTCAAGTTCCATCCTTGGGCACCTGAATTGTCGCACCACAGTTCCGTTAGTAGTAATCTAACAAAAAATACGGGCCTGATAGAGTCGGCGACGGGAATTCTGAAATTTATTTTCTTATTAGTAGTACAACCTCACTTATATTGCAAATTACGGACGGACCACGGCGTTTCGACTTGAAAATTGCTGGGCTTATAGAGTTTGAGTTTTCGATTTCCATGCGCTAAAAATTTCCACAAACGTCCTATAAGCGGCCGAGAATATAACAAGTATAATTTTGGCACCAAGGCATGGTTTTTGAGGATTTGGTCTCGAGGCCTCTCTGATCAACCCTGGTCAAGCCAGAATGGACCAAATTCGATACGATCTACTCACGTAACGCAAAGATATGTAGGGTATATAGCGCCATTGTTTGGGAACTTGGAACAACAAGGCATTGGAGTTTGTCCGCAAATCCATATATCGCATAGAGCGGCCTCTCTAACACCTCCTGCATGTCAGCGTGCCCGAGAGGTAGCTCTTGCTTCAAAAACTTCTGGTCAGGGGGGCAATTCCGGGCAAGAACTTTTTTGGAAAAAACGTAGTGAATGTAGCAAACTGCCGCTACAAGTGGCTGTTATGAAAATTCCGCGACTTCGGGCTACCCCTCCGCGAAAGGAAACCCTCCCGTCAAAAGCCAGCCCCAAAGCTTCAGCCCCTGTGCGCCACGAAACGTCGCGACCTGGCTCACTATGTCCAAATTGGTGCAAAAGGCCGTTTTTACTAAAAAATTCCAAGCGTCGATTTTTAAATATGGACATGAAGTTTTTGCATTCTGATTTTCTTGGGTTTGTTGGGGTTTCTGACCGCGCTCTATCCGAATCCGGAAAGACCGAAGCCCTAGCTCCTTTCCAGGGTTGGTCCATTTGGTATCCGGATCCTATCCGGATAATATCCGGATACGGGTATGTATCCATACCCGCCGCATTAGCATATGTTCTTTGGATACGGATAATATCCACAATGGATACGGATAGTATCCATATACGTAGAATGAATTTTGCCGGATACGGGTATGGATACGGATACAGATACGGATACTACCCGGTATCCGTTGCGGATACTTTGGATACTTCCGGTTTTTTATGCAAATCACGGTATTGAGTTGTGTTTTGTATGGAAGTCGTTACGACAAGATATTTTGTTAAAGTCTAAATCCAAGCACTATGCAGTTACGATGTTACATCCACCGATTGGACAGCACAATTGAGCACAAGAAGATTTCCTTTATTTTTGAAGTTTTCTTAGGTGGTTCTGTCGTCTGGGTTCTCGCCTTGGTGTCATGTACTTGGATCTTAAAGCTTTGGAACATTGGGGATTTGTTAGAATTGCGGATACACTCGTTTTTATCCCGTTTTCGATTCGGCTGAGGAGTGATGGTGAATCTAGGCTTTAATGTTGATCGGTTCCATACAAAATCAAGCTGAATATCGTGATTTGCATAAAAAACCGGAAGTATCCAAGTATCCGCAACGGATACCGGGTAGTATCCGTAATTGTATCCGTATCCATACCCGTATCCGGGAAAGCCATGCTAATTTTGGATACGGGTACGGATACATATCTGGATACCAAAGTATCCGTATCTGCCCAAATTAGCATAGGTTCACGGATACGGATATATATCCACATGTCCGAAAATGGGTACCGATGCTGGATACGGATATTCAAATGCCCAACCCTGCTCCTTTCCCATTCGAGTGGAATTCAGCTTCAGACGACAACACACAGAGACCACAACAAAATTATTATAGTTGACCAGCGGGGGAGGAGCCGCTTCGCGACTCTCCCCCGCTGGACCCCGTCTAGGCCTTATGAATCGAGCGCCCTTCCACATAAAGTTATCTGACGAAAGAAAAACGCAACTCTCATGCAAACCTCTTTGTATTGGTATGCGGCTCAAGCTTGAACTGCTAGTCTCGTTATTAGGCCTGCGGCGCTAGCTTGAGCGGCTAGCTTCGTTCTAAAGCCTGCGGCGCTCGCTTGAGCTGCTAGCTTCGTTCTAAAGCCTGCGGCGCTAGCTTGTGCGGCTAGCTTCGTTCTAAAGCCTGCGGCGCTCGCTTGAGCGGCTAGCTTCGTTCTCAAGCCTGCGGCGCTAGCTTGTGCGGCTAGCTTCGTTCTAAAGCCTGCGGCACTAGCTTGAGCGGCTAGCTTCGTTCTAAAGCCTGCGGCGCTAGCTTGAGGGGGTAGCTTCATTCTATCGGCTGCGGCGCAGGTTTGAGTGGCTAACTTCATAATAACGTCCCTACACGGAAATCTACTCCGAAACGCACTTTCCGAGCAAAAAGCAAAACAGCTACGATATCCGAGGATCGAACCTCCGATGGTTAGATTAGTAGGGTGATGCGCTAACCACTACACCATGCAATGCTTGGCAGCACGCACCAAAAACCCCCTTTTGGACATTGCCTGGGGCAGGGGAAGAAAAAGCATCGAGAGGCAGATCCAAAGAGACGACCAAACTCGCGAGTGCAACTGGCAAGAATGAGGAAATTTGTATTTTTTCACATTATGCAAATTAGCCTGCCTGGACCCCCAAAAATCAATAAAACCGGCTTTAACTTTGTAAACTTGTATTTTATCGGGATTCTGAAAACGCCATCGGAAAGAGGAGGGTCGATTCCCCCGGGTGACCGAGAATTAGGGCATTTTGGACACGGGAAGGCCCTCAAATCGGGCCTCGAAAGTGACATCCACACACACACACACAAACACACACAGAGATACGCGACCAAATTATATAAGGTAGGATATTGCAAACTCTGTCGGAAGCGAGGGAAAACGGGCTTTCGAGTCTCTCGAATTCCGATAAAGTATCTGGTGCTGTTACTAGAGATGTTCTCAGGCTTTTCATGTCTTTCTGCGCATCGCGGCATCCTAAAACAATCAGAAAGACTTTAAAACAACACAAATTCTGGATCTCCTGCCGGATTAAATGAATGGTACTTTTAGTCTGCACGTCTCGATAAACTCTATAAGCTTAAAAGTTATATTTTCCTCGGCAACCTTACAACTATCTGGTCCCTGATTTGAGCAGTAACTGTTCCCTCCTGCAGTGGGTAGTCTTTTTTGGTGTGCTGAATTGCTCCAATGGCTGACCAACGAATATGCAGAGAGATTTATTCGAAGCCACGCTCTTGGTAGAGGGCTAACGCGGGCGCGGGGCTCAGCAAACGTTGCAGCTGGAGCCGCAGTACTGCCTCTTTTGGGCGGTCGAGTAGAACGAGCTGCTGCAGAAGCCGTTCGACACCCAGTTGGCGCAGCTGAAATGGGCATTGCAAAACATTTTTCGGATTATGCCGGCCAAGGCTTGCTGTGGTTCCAGACCGAACTGCGCCATCTGCGCCTTACCTGGTGCTTCCGTCCGTGCAGGTGGAGGAGGAGCCGCCGCCGTTCGACGAGCACAGGTTGCAGCTGGATCCACAGTACTGCGACTTTTGGGCGGTCGTGTAGAAGGCGCTATTGCAGAAGCCGTTCGCCACCCAGTTGGCGCAGCTGTAATGTATAAGGCATAGAGAGGAAAATATTTGATGGTGAGCATCACGTATCGAGCTCGGGCCGAGGCAGTCGATTCTTGGTGATCGTGCCTTTCATTCAGAACCTACTTGCTGCTCGAGTCAGTGCAGGTGGTGCTCGATCCGCTGCAGGCCGGCTGGAGGTTGCAGCTCTTGGCGCAGTACTGTCCCCTCTGCTCGATCGTGTAGGCCGTGTTTGTGCAGAAGCCGTTCGAAACCCAGGTGGCGCAGCTATAAAAAAGAAGTCATGATTTGACAGCTTTGTCGTCCTGAGTTTTCCAAGATCGCTTGCATACCTACGACCGGCGCGGAATGGATAACAGCAGACTCAAAGCCAGAAACTCAAAATACCAACTTGCTGTTCGTATCCACGCAGCTGCCAGAGTAGCTCTCGCTGCTAACCGTGGTAGTGGTGGCGGAATCGGCAACCGTCGTCGTTGTTGCCGAGTCCACTGTTGTGGTGGTGGCACCACCGGCGGTCGTCGTCACCAAGGGAGTAGTTGTGGTCGCGTCATCCTGTAAATCATGGGTCCGGAGGAGCAAACTTTTGGGCTTATGCTTATGGTCCGAGAAGCGATATGTATCCCAACAAATCTGAGTCGGGTGCGAGTATGAACTTTTGACAAATTTTGTGTGCTTTCGGCTATTCGTTGGGATAATTTTCCAAAAACCCACAACGTAGCATGCATCGTTCGTACCGTCATTGTAGCAAACCTCACCAGGTAGGCAGGCCGGGGCTGTCCCTAAATTACGAAGGGTGATAAAATTCATAGTTAGTGAGTAAATCTATAGCCGCTTTAAGAATTGCTTAAATGTTTAAGGACCAGGGATGGTCATTTCGGGCCTCGGGGCCGGGGTACCGGTCTTTTCATGACCAACCCTGAGAGGACCGCAGCTGTTAAAACTCCATATGGGGGGCTTAACTTTTTTTTTGCAAACAGACAACAGGACCGAGAACGCGCTCCGGGGCGAGACGCAGACAAATTTTCTTTCCCTCGCGTCACCGATTACTTTTGCAGCCGTTATCCTATTTGAAGAGCATTTTTTGCCAGGTCCTGGTGGCTATGGAGTCACAATACCATATAGTATTAGACGAAGCGCTTCTAGAAATAGATCTCCTTGCAGAGCCAGTAAGGAGTAGATGGATCTTACGTACCAGTACCGGCAGCAGGAGCCGGGGAAGGAACCGGGTCACATTGCGCATTTGCCTAAATTTACCAACATTATGACTGTAAGTTCAGTAAGAGTAAGTTGATGAGCCTCCTTGAACAACTCCTCTTTGGTTTAGCACCAACCTGTGAGACGAAGCCGAGGACGACGACGAGGCAGACGACCTTCTGCATGTTCCGAGCTGAGCCGCCGAAGTGAATGTTCTGGTTTTCACCGCCCCGCCTTTTATACAAAATCGAGGCTGCGACAAGCAAACAATCGTCGCTGCTGTGGGCTTCGTAAAAAAAAGAGCTCGCAGTTCTTCGTCCTATAATAGTGGTAGGGCTGAGCAAATCGGGCGTCTGATGTACGGACCAAGCTCGGGCTACCCACTCCTGAGGAGATACTTCTGAATTCAAAATATTGAGATGTGATGGCTGAAAGCAATGGTTCTCGTGATACTCAATAGCACAGCAAAACACCATGACCGATAACTTGGTTGCTCATAAACTCATTAGTTTTAAGCCAGGGGTGTAACGGAAAGGGGACAACTCAAAAATTTGTTGATGAACTTCTTGATTAAGCGGCACAAAACCCCTCCAAAAGCACGTAAATTTCAGAAAGTACAACTTCTCATGCAATTGTTCGATACATTTATCAAAAAAGTTTTGCCACAGACAAGATACAGAAAAATTTTCGGGGAAAAAGATCATAAAGATCAAATTTTCGGTCTTCGAGGTTCTATTTTCGAGAATCTGGACTATCGGGATACTGAACCATCATAATTCTGGTTTTCGAGATGGCGATTCTCGGGATCTGATTTACGGGATTCTGGCCGTCTGGATTCTGAGAGTTTCCCATGTACCGTTATTACCCAAGCAGTAAAATTGTTCCGATTATCGATTATTAGACTATTTTGCTTGATTTTTGATCCAACGCTTCCCAAAACCCAGTTTTTAACAAAATGGCTGCTCGATTTTATTTCATTCCAAGACAAATGCATGTAATTTTCCCTATTTTCTTTTCCTGGGATATATCTAAGCAGAGCATTTCACGAAGCGTTTCCACCACCGTCAAGGTAGCTGCAGTTGCCCTTGTTCGTAAAATGTCACATTTTCCTGGGAAACGAATAAAAACATTTATTAACCAAAAAAGCACATCCGCATCACCGCTGCGCAAATATATCTTTCGAGCTTTTTCCGTCCGCAGCGCTACAAGCTTTCTCGCTACCGTATTTGGCCACCTGAATTATGGCACCATAATTCTGCGCGCAGCAATATGTGACTGGAGAGAACTATCCGTTCTGCCGTCCGCCACGTTTTGCAGAGTATGGTGTGTACTCGACAATGTGGAGTTGGGCATCAGCTTCACCAGAATGATACGGAAAATAGTTGAACTCAGTAGGGAAGCGGAGTAAGCAATATGGCTTCTTGGCGCGAATCGTTTTCCGAGTTGCATTTTTAAAGTGATGCCCAACCTTTCCGGAGCTCAAAAAGCAAAAAATTTTTTTTGTGCGGCAATGGGCCCCCGTTGCCGCACGAAATTCGCGCGTCAGTTGTATTGCCCGGAATACATCACTATATATTTGCCGCCAAAACCTTGGGTATCCCTTTAAAGCGCACGTTCAGGGAGGGGCCGTGTACTCGTCCAAACGTGTACACCCTATGGACGTAGGGACCGCGCGCACTGCCTGCCCGTGCTGGGACAGGCCATTTCCCTCCTTTGCGGCGTGGGGCGCCCCTCGCCCCCAAGCCAGGTTGTAGCTGTGGCTGCCTGGTATCCATCCGCGCATCCCGACCGGGGGCCCGGGTTCGACCCCCGGCCGCGTCAGAAGTCCTTGCTTTTTCCCAATAAAACGTTCCTGAACGTGCCCTTTCAAGAGCAAAAGAGACTACAGCCAATGGCTTGCTAGTTGTGTTTAAGAGACGATATCGTCTAGGGCTGCGATTCGTACTGATGCATATGGTGCATGAATTATATTACGTTTCTGGAGCTTATGTCTGCGCGAGGCGCAGCACACGTGGAGGTACTTTTCAGGCCGCTAATGATTTTGTCTGTGTACGTCGCGGGCATAGTTCTCCCGGGACATTTTTGTCCTGTTGTTCTGATGGCGCAGAACAGTAAAGACAGTAAGCGTATCAACACTTTTTAGTTTTGCATTTTTACGTTAGAGCACAGCAGGACGTAGCAGGCCACGGCAGGTTCTCGCGGCATGGATTTCTGTCTTTTCTAGGAATTATTTGCATAATAAAAGCCACGAGTACATCTTTAATGAGCGGGCGATACAATCACAAAAAGAGTACGTGGTAACCTTGATATCCTCAATTCGTCAAGACGTAGACTTTTGCTTCTGCTTTGGTCGTCCTGCTCGGCCAGCCATCGCGCCACGGCGAACTCCTCAAAAAAGTTTTCGCTTCGATTCGTAAAGTTCAGAAAAACGGAAATTAGGTCCCAGAAAATTGTATGCAAATAGCGTTATTTGAGTCCTTATCTTATTTGAATACGAACGCCTTGACTTCAAACTAAGCTGTCGGCGACTCCAGGCGCGAACGTCGTAGACACGGCCCCTGAGCCCCGCTGAGCCCCTTTAATGCGCTACAAGGAGGACCTTGCTCTTACCATTTATTTGCAGCCCGGCGCTCAAGCATTTGTTCCACCGACATCGCCGACAGTAGTCCGCGTGGCTAGAAACATGAGGATGTATTTCTACCCAGGTCTCACCAATGCAACAAAGAACAAGTCCCTTTCCCTCGGCAGAAGAAGTTGCGAAACGTCTGCGTCTGCACGGCACGCTAAATCAGAATGGCTCTGCAAGATGTGCCTGGCCGTGCCTTGAAAAAACTCTTGCAGCCCTCACAGCTCCGTCCGCCGTAGTGCACCCCGGACGCCTTCATCCCGCACACCGCGCAGGCGCCGCGCTAAACACGAAAATTTCCAAATAGCGAGGTTTCTTCGCGAGCGTCACCAAGTTACCGCGGCTAGGTACTCCAAAATTTTTCGACATTTCCAATATTTTGTTGCGATTTTTGCTTCGCCATTGGATAGCGCATTAAAATATCCTAGGAGTTTTAGCCACAGCTCAAAATACTGTAGTATAAAAAAGTTACGGGGAAAATTTTTACGAGCTTCCGGCTGGGGGGCGGGAAGTAAAGTACAGTCTTACCCACGGTCGTCCCGACCTTAGTAAATTTTTCATACCTCTGGCGTCTCAGATTTTTGCTTGGCATTTTTCAGCGGCGATGATGGGCTCCAAGTCGTCGCATCGTTCAAATCTTTGATAGCATCTTTAGCGGTGTAGCAGCAGGAGTCTTCGGTGAACCAGTCCGATAGCGAATCCGTCAATCGAGGCATATCATTTCTGAAGTTATGTTTAAGAAGAAAGAAGCCCTTGAGCATACCTGACGAAGTCGTCATCCAGAGAAATTTCCTGCATTGACACATAGGGCATCGCCAGCGGAGATGCATCTCGTCCATAATTTCTTGTAGGGGGTTGAAATGAATGAAGCTCCGGGAAAGTCGTTCATTCTTATTCTAAAGCTTTTTTTTCATCAGTCGCCTCTAAAAAATAACCAAAAATCAAGATTAAACGAAACTTTTTTTCCACCGGTTTCATCGAGTGTTAACGATAATATGAAAATAGAAATATCAGGTGCAATGTGACATAGGTTTCTACAAGCTTCTTTCTAATTTCACACCTTAATTGCGAAAATTTGTTGATGATCAAAATTTTGAGGCTGAAACAAAGGTACTGTGCCGACGGGTTTGAAAATCAAAAATGCGTGTTCTGGCCTCTGTCGGATAGTCTCCTTGCGTTGTATGTACAGGCCCGGCCGGCGCTACCGGCCGGAAAGAACACTGGCTGGGATGGGGGCGCCCGGCCAGTTTGGGATTTACTAACATTATACCGAAAAATGATTATGCAGAAAACCATTTACTAACAATTTTCGAACCGATAAAACTATCTGGCTGGGCAAAGTCGGCGAGTCAATGATGGAAACAACCTCAACGACCGCGGATACAACTTGACTTTTTTTTGTATATAGAATCTTATGGGAGTGGAACGGTTAGGGTAACAAATTTCTGCGAAATATTTTTTATCTATATAATGAATTCCTGCGTAATAGTTTTTCTGCGTAGTGATTTTCTGTGTGATGGGATTTCTGTATAATCTAATTTCGGCCTAATGGATTTCGGCTTAATGGATTTCTGCGTAATGGATTTTCTGTGTAATGGTTTTCTGCGTAATGGGTTTTCGGTATAACGGTTTTCTGTCTAATCGATTTCTGCGTACCGAAATTTCTGCGTAATGTTAATTGCCCCCAGTTTGGTACTTGCGCCCGCACAGGTACCGAAAGGTTTGTAAGATCTCTCTTAGCAGTAATGTTTTATTTGTGTTTAGCAGCCCGTTGCAGTGGTCTGCTGTACAGCGGTATAGACGAGGGTTACACCAGCATCGCTAGTCCCCAAAACAGCTTCGGCCGGTCAAATAGAGAGGCTCACCGTATGGTTGAATATTCCGGCGTAAGGCTTCGGGCTTTCACTGGCCATCCATCGGCGGTATTTGACCGGGGAGACATGGTGTACCGCCTGAAGTGGGGAATCTCATAGAAGTGATTGAAGATCGAATAATCGAAGATCGAAGATCGCCATTTGGGGCCAAGCCGGAAGTAATTTGAGGAGAATTAAAGCCTCATTCATCATATTCAGACTTGAGAGGGTCAATGTCTTAAAGGATGTCGTAATTAAGGAACCAGAGTAACATAGCGAGCGTATTGATGCGTATTTCTGGCAGTTCGATCGCATGTGGACTGTTTGCGGATTCGTGTTTTGACGTGTGTTAGGGAAACCGGCAACTAGGGAACATCGTGGAAACATTTCACGATTTTGGTGACATTTTTCGCATTGAAGCCATTTTCGAATGAAGATTTGCGCCTAAAAGAAGTTGTCTTTTTAATTCTGCTTATACGTGCGGGCACATAGAGTTTGCATGGACCAACAATTTCTTACGGACTTTACTGCCGTCGTGGCACTGAGCGCCGGGTCCTTCATTCCATTGAGTGCGATAATACGACCCCGGTACCAAACAGAAACCACCTTGTTTGTCGTGCAGACGGCTTTGTTAGTAGTCTCAGAGACTTCGGATATTTTTTTAAAGCTTTGCTGCCCTCGTACTTGAGTGGGAAAACTTTGTGTTCGTTAATTCACTAGGGAATGTTTTCGGGCGGACATCGGTCCCAGATATATGAGTATGTGCATCTTGTAGAGCGCGACGAGACGAATCGATTGATGTACTTAGCTGCTGATCCCTCATTTTAACAAAGTTACAACGGTAAAGCTGATTGGCCATACCTTCATAGGCTCTCCCCACACCCTGACCACCGTGTCCTGGTGGCCTAGTGGCTTAGTCGTCGGCGTCTGAAGATGGTAGCGAGGGTACGGATCCGCTCACCATTTTTTGTTTTTGCTTTTTGGTCGAGAGCTTCCTTTTTGCACCCCGATGGCCTACAAACACTTATTTCAAATTTTTTTTTACCTGCCGGACGGTTTCGCAACCATATTCCGATCAATAAGCATAAGGGGAACACGGAGAATTTTTCGAGCTGAAGTCATCAACATTGGTTGTACTTGCAAGAACAAAAATCCAATGAATACTGTCACCAAATTTGGTGTAAGTCCTGGAGATAAAAAAACTTGGAAATAAGTGTTTGTAGGCCATCGGGGTGCAAAAAGGAAGCTCTCGACCAAAAAGCAAAAATAAAATCGTGACGGCTCCGTACCCTCGTTACCATCTTCAGACGCCGAGTACTAAGCCACTAGGCCACCAGGACACGGTGGTCAGGGTGTGGGGAGAGCCTATGAAGGTATGGCCAACAACTTTAAACCGTTGTAACTTTGTTAAAATAAGGTATCAGCAGCTAAAAGTTACATCAATCGATTCGTCTCGTCGCGCTCTACAAGATGCACATACTCATATATCTGGGTCCGATGTCCGCCCGAAAACATTCCCTAGTCAGTGTGGTAAAAATTCTGGAAGCCGACGATTATTAGTGCGTTTTATTCGCTGGTTTTGACACCTCAGTAGACTTGGAAGTCTCAAAAGGTGCTAATAATAAGCTGTTCAAAGGGGATATCTTCTTCCAAAGTAGATAGGGCAACGGGAATTTAGGGCAAAACTGATTAATCGCAGCACGATAATAGCGCAGGAACCTCGGGGTCAGCGCATCTTTTTTTTCAAGGCGGCGAATAATGCAATATAGATATCCGCTTAAGCTTTGTAAATAAGCTCGATTCCTGGAAAGTTATTGAAAATAGAACGCTGAACGTTGATTCAGTTGATATGGAGAAAACGCTATGTGTGATGTCTATGGAACTTTGGCGCAAAAATAACGTTTAATCACAGTGTTTGAAACTTATTAAGAGGCTATGATTTATTAATGGGAAATTAGTGGCAATGAAAGTGGAAATGCGAAAAGTGTCATGGTGGAATGGGCCAGTCAGGCAACCGTCATCCCCTACCGTGAAAGGTGACATTTCGGGTAGAATGGGACTTGTTGTGCAAATCGCTGGGCATACAATAACTGGAAAAGAGTTATCCTCTAAAAACGACCTTACCGTGGTAATCTGAGAATCTGATGCGAATATGCTTGGGTTTTTTAAAGGAGATTTGGCTTCCACGGGCCTTCTACAATGTAATCTTTACACCGCCTTTTCCGTCTCTACCTTTTCCCAGCAATTTCGTTTTCAAAATTTACGATTAATCCCCTGCAAATGCACCGATAGTCCGATAGTGCGATTTACCCAGACAACCGGAAGCCGCCATTTGCTGCCTATGAGATGCCGTCGCTGTGGGAATTTGAAGATCTACTTTGATTGGCAAATGAATGGGGTTGATGTTTTTCAGTTACGTGTAAGAATGAAAAAATATGGATCCTTGCCACAGCATTTTAAGATTACATAGGGCTTTAGAGCTTTTGCATAGTCTAAGGCAGGTTTAGTCATACCGTTTTTTTTGGCCTGATACCCGGGATCTTCGGTCTTGGAAAACTTTTCCCTATTTCAGCCCGACTTTTGGAAGTGGATCACGAGGTAGAGCCACCCTCCCTCCACCCAATTGGCCTTTAATTCCATATTGCAGTCCTGTTTGCACAACCAAAGTCGAATCCGACCAATCCGATCCAATCCCCGCTGTTCTCTGGCCTGCCAGCCCGGCAAAAGTCCGGGGGCGAGGCTGCGCCCAAAAATTTTGAGATCAAATTCTATCCCCAGTCAAAGGATTCATATGGGCAAGAGAAAATTCTGCGTGCGCGAAGTACGCGGAACCTTTTAAAAACCACGCGTTAAAACGTACGTTAATTCCTGGCATTCTGCTGCATCGCGCGCCGCAGAACACCTATCAGGCTATTAGGCCGATCAGCACCTGGCGCACTAATGAGAGCTACGCGAAACGGGCCTGGTAATTTGATCTGATAACGGTATCTAGAAGGTCAGGCGCTTAAAAATCATTCTCAGCGTCGGCTTCAATCGAGCTGTTTTTGCTTCACACAGCAACCGGTCAAAGCCGTCTAGACGTTTCATTTTTTTAAAGTTGAGGATCTGCATTTTTAGAAAACGATCCACGCTATACGATTTGGTTCTTGTCGCATCCTGATCAGGATGCAGGGTTTTCCTTGAGAAATTCCTAATGATGCTATGGCGCGTACCGATTTTATAAAATTGAGAACTGATGGAGGCACTTATTGGTATCACCGAACAATAGTAGATACAGTCCTTGCTCCACTCTTCAGGCACCTATCTTTTTGGGGACTCATCGGTCCGCTCAAATCAGCCCGAACCACCACCGCCCGGCACGAAAATCCCGTTCATCGACCGTTGGGTGCGAGAAGCTATTTTCCGTGATTTTCTTGACCGAGGAGAGCCCCGCCCAACCTGACATTCAAAGGGCGCTGTTTGGTTAGCAGCTTCTAAAAAATTGGACATGCTCAGCCCGTTGAAGGCGCACGGAGGGCCCAGAGTGTGCAGTTCCAACAGCGGGTCAGTGAGCAAAGAACTATAAATTTGATAACAAGGCAAGGACCCGTTTTGGCTGTTAATGGCGTCTTCGAGAGGATCTAGCTGGCTACAAATCCTAATAGTAAGCAGAAGGTGAAAACAACAGATGCTGAGGAACTTCTTTATTTCCTCGATGTGATTGTATCCCGTCGACGCCACCGCCGCAAATTATTGCTTTTCCAAATGCGATTCTCTGTTAATCACCATTTAAAATGTGTAGCACTTAGAAGTTTTAGTTCCCAATTAATCTCTTCACTTAGAGCTTCCGCAGCCAAAACCGCCCCCCCCCCAACCACGCCGGCCCTGGGCAGGACCCTCTGGGGTTGGGCTCCCCCCCTAGTGGGGAGTGGACCACTCGGGTTCCCCCCCCGTGCGCAACTTTCTTGCTCTCAACGCAAT